TGTTCTTAATTTTCTTTCGAAATAGCACGCGAGTTGCCGCCAAGAATCCCTAAATCGATCCATCGACCTCTCCGCCCTCAACCACTCAAAGGGTCGAAAGTAACAATTTCACTTCAGAATACGGTTTTATAAAATCTGTTACAGTCTCGAGAAAACTGACACAAACTAAGATATTAGGAAATTTGTCAACTTGTCCTTAACCCTCAATAATATATTTTTATCTCCAGAAAACACAACAGAAAAAATTTAAATTTCCCGTAGATACGTATAAATAAACGCAGAAAGTTTCTAGAAGCGATCGATAGAACTCGAATACGAAATTCAGAAGGAAGCTCTATGTTTCAGACTCCCTTAAACTCCGTTATTCCTCGCTCGTCTCTCTCTCAAAAAAAAGAAAAAAAACAGAATGACTGTTTCGTTCCTTTGAAAGTAAGTCGTCCAATTTGTTGAGTACCTCTGTGCAGCGATATTTCCAGCGTTCCTTTACAGCTAAAAACTTCTCTTTATTCCCATTAACCTTACGTTTCGCGTAGAAAAAGAAAAGGACAAATAATAACAAGAACTATTCAAAGGGCAAGAATCGTTTCCCCACCTTTTTCTCTTCCCCTTCCGCGGGGAGAAGGTTATTCACCGTCTACGGTCGCGAAGTTAAGAGTCAGCCCGCCCCTTTGTCAGCCCTTTCGATGTTAACAAGAGGGCCTTCAGCGTCCCTATAGCAGCGACAGCTTCGACAGATTTTCCGGCGCACAGGTGCCAATCGATTTCTCCCATAAAACCAAGATTACCTTCTGCGGCGTCGTAACCGAGCTCCCGAGTAAACGCTATCCGGTTCCCGTTTCCAGAGGGTCGATGAAAAAGTTTCAAGGTCTTGGTACCTCAATGGAAGGAACGATCGAACTTGGTCGCGGCGCGAACTACTTTCGTACACTCGACTCGTAAATCACGCGGTTCGGGTTCCACGGGAATCTCCGCGCTCAGATATCGTTTCTGTTGGCGCCACAGCGGCTGAAACTTCTAAACACACCACCGAATTCTCCCAATCGATTGCAAACCCTCGAATCTCGGATCTCCGGACAGGAACCACTGTTCTTAAAACGATCGAATCACATTTTTAATAGACTTTCGCAAAACTATATTTTCTATACTTCGAAACGCCCCGTATAGCTAGATACATAGTTCAAAGGGAGCATTTGTTCCCATTTAGCAAGCAAACTTCGCGCCATATCGAGCAATATTCCAGTGGCGGCGTTACAGGGCAATTCCGCGAATCAAGAGTTGGTTGCGGCGAACCGGTCTGAAACGGCGTTCAAGAAACGTCGAAAGTTTCGAAACGCATCGCTGGTACCCAGACTGTCGCCGGATTGGTAGCTAATCAAATACAGCGGTTGACGAAGTGCCGAATGAAGGAAATTTATTGTAAGTAAATAGAATTAGAAGTTACGAGTGCCTTGAGTAACCTCTGGCCACCCGACTGACGCTAACCCAACTAGAGCTAACCTGACCTAACTAAATAATTGAATTAGAGCCACCGTCTCCGGGCGTGCTACCCCTCCCGTACGCCGAATCCAGAGTCTACTCCTTGTCTTACCTCTGCGGGGCCAGGTTGCGTTCTACCAACTTCTTACTATCGATTCCTTATCGTCGAATTGCGAGACAAGTTCCCGCGCAATCACGAGCACGGAACGGTTGTAATTTGTAGGGACGAGAAATTTATGAGAAACGGGCACAGGGGGTTGATTGAATCAAATTTTGATGAATCTGGACGTGATAGTTGCAGGCTCGAATAGTTTAGGTTCACCAAACTTCGGGGCAACACTTATTGTTTGTTAATTCTAGAGGATTCAGAATTCTCTGAATGATAGGGGTAGAGGTAAATATTGGCTCGTAATATGGTTACAGAGAAGCTTCTTTTTTATTGTTCCTTGTATATGTGATGGTTTGATATTCGTTTAAAGATAGAAAAGGAGAGGGAAGTGTTTTGTTCCAACTATAGTAGTCGAAGAATGTGTTTATAGGGACAGATGGTCGAGCACTTGTGAGAAAACTGAGAGTTGAGCGCGGCCCTCTGTCGGCGAGCGCAAGAACTGTCGCCACGTAGTCCTGTACTTCCAGTCGTGTGAACATAATGTTATTTGGAAAGACTTTGAAGTGTCATTACAAGAATGGGAGAAAAATTAAATTCTTGGATTTTGATTCAATTTCAACTCAAAGTTTATGAATTTCAAAAATTTCGAAGACCTTAAAAACAAATAAGGTATTTACAATTCATTGAAAGGAAGTTTAATCCTTTTAAGATTGTCCAAATGGCGAAAGGTGAACACATATCAAGGTTTTTATTTTTGAAAGAAGTCACCGTGGTTTTGACAGTGAAAGATCGTCGATATTTGCTTTCACGACTGTTCGATCGTCTCCTTGCACGGTCCAGAGTCAGAGTCGATTTTCATGACCACGGTTCAGAGTAAGTGGCTCGTTTCAGTAGACGATGGTATTAACTCACCGGGTCAGTGAGTCGTCGGATACGACTAAATCGCCGGTATCGTGGTGCCCAAGGATCGCTACAAATCATCCCCACAACAGAGAAGTCATTCTTATCGCGATGATTCAGGAATTATTAGCGCCGAATCTGACTCCGGGCATTGTCATTGCCGCGGCGACAGTCGGAACTGCTTTCTTACGACCCGGGGATAGTTGATATCGCATTTCATGCTCGGAGATAACCAGTTTCTAGCGCTAAATCCCCAGAGCCCGTCGGTGCCGGAGTCTCAAAGCACAAGAGTCATCAGTATCGCGGTCTCCCGTCTCCGTGTCGTCGATATTGGCTCCTGCGGAAACTTATCGCCGCCAATATTGTTTTCGCCATTACGCCGCTTCTTCTACTTCCCTTCTAATAGTCCTTGAATTTATATTGAAATACTGCCACGAACGTCACTCTCGATTGAGTTATTCAACACTGGAACTACCAAGACAATCAAAATGATCCATCCATAATTTCTAATAAAAATTGTAACAAATTTACTGGACTGGATTTTTTAAAATCTTCCATAATTTTCTATGAGAGAATGAATAAATACTTATTTCCATTGCATTATACATTTCTTCTCTCTTAGATCTAATCTAATTCTAATCTTTTAATTTCTATAATTGTCTCGGTAGTTCTAGTGTTAAACAGTAAAAATTCGATCAGTGTCAGTAGTAGAGATAACTAATTTAACACTGATAATAGCAGTTATTTATTCACATTCATAGAGTTAGACTGCTTAATGCATTTATGGGTAATTTTAATTCTCCAAAAACTACAGAATTAACATGCAAAAATATAAGACTTAAAGTGAGATACGAATTATTATATTTAGGAGTCGAAACGACCCTCTACGAAGCTTCCATTTCGTTACTTCTATCGATAAAAATATGAATTTGCATAAAGATCCACAGATTTTTATAATGGTTTTATAACACACATTTTATAATAAACAATTATTTTCGAAAATCCGTACGTACAACTGAAGCTACTGTCTTACCTGTTTCTAACAAATTTTTAAAGCCCCCCTCTCTTCCTATTATAGTTATAACAATTAATATTCTTATACAAAATTGTTCAAGAAACGTACTTTCGAAAACATCAAACATTTATCAAAAAAAGTTTCACAGTCACGTACGAAAAAAATTCTTGTAAAATTGGCTTTATTTTCACCCATCACAGTTCACCCCTTAATTAAAAGAGAACGCCATGTCCGTGGAGGTGCAAAACCGTTCCCTTTTTTATTTAGGACGCGCACAGGCCAAGTTTCCCTCCCGGAGGGGAGTTCGGGTATCGATTCTCGTCCATTTTGGCCGAAAGACTTCGACGTGCTTGCTTTTTAAACAGCGCCCGGAGTACGACGAACGACCGCCCGGAACCCGAATCGACGTTCGACCAATCTCCTGGAAGCATCTCGCCCCGAACACTTCCTATTTTTTCCCCTCTTTTTTTTTTTTTGTAGACAAGGCGATTTCTCGGACCGGAAAGTGGGTACACGCTCGAGTGTTCCTCTTTCGTCATCGTCGGTCGGGAACTTTCCGCGAGTAACTTTCGAGGAACCCGCGTTCAGCTGGCCGCGATTCTTCTCGTTGCACGAACGACCGCCGCCCGCGTAATAACACGTCCATACGGTCTATCAGTTTCCGAGCACGTTTCCGTTTTCAGAACGCGCGCGCGCGGTCCGTTCGGTTGTCTTTCCGCCACTCGAAACGGTACCGTCTATCGCGGGAACAAATGTATTTGCCGGGGCGAGCCGGGGCGTTGATTGATTTTTAAAAACGGCGAATCCCCGCTCGATACACCGCGAACGCGCTGAAATAAAAAGCGTACACGCGACCGTTCGCCTCCACCCCCCCTGAAAATCCTCTTTTTCATCGGAGAAATCCGATCCGCGAATGTTCAATCGACCCGCCGAATTCTTTCGCCGCGAAATTCAATTTCGCGTACGTTCGATCCTCTTTTTTTTCCGATCCTAATTTCTTTTGCTTTAACGCTAGATTTGCACGTATGTCGATCTAAACCCTTCGTATTCACAGTTACATTGCAATGCAATTTTTTTTAAATTAATCGAATTTAATATAAATTGACTAATAATATTACGAGATCTCTGTTTAAGAGTAGAGGAATTAGTGATATATAGTTTTTCTGAGAAAGTACGTTTCTAGAGGCCAAAGTGGTAAAAAGAACGTCTTGGTCTCCGCGATGGTCCGACTCGTGTATCACGGTTACGCGAAATGGGGGGGGTAAAAAACGTAGAATATCGTTCTCAGATAGCACTTCTATATTATTTCCCGTGTATCCGTAAATTTTCTTGCCCCCGGGAGCAAGTATCAACCGTAAATATCGCGACTCAGCGTGGGGTCACGCAATAACGTGCCTCGTGATATCTATCACGGTATTCTTTTATTGTTTTAACGTGTAAAACACCCGGGATTCCGTGTACGTGAGCCGAGCTGAGCACGCGTATTTGTACTTGTTCCAGGATAAACGAGAACACCACGAGATCCCAGTTTTTGGCGTACTTCAGCTTCTCGTCCAGGGCGAGCGTGTCCGTTGGCTGGCCGGTAAAAGGCGGCGATCCTGTGAACAACACTGGTAAGACACTTTACATTTAATTTAACAATGTCCGTCGCGATGTTTCTCCATTCCTTTTCGGCTGTATTTATCGCTCGTAAAACGTGAACGCGCCAAGGAACAGAAATTCGAGAAGTCAGAACGGTGAATACTCGATGTGACGTTGATTTCAAATTCCCCTTTTTATCCTTAATCAATATTATAATATTCTAACGAAGTTGGGAGGTCGGAATATTTGAGAATTTTTTTAGCTTACAGAATAAAATTGAAGTTGCTCGTTGTATTGAGCACATTTTATAAAGAAAAGCAATATAGAAATTATTATACAAAGAGCAAGGATTAGCAATGAAATAGCTGCTTTCAAAATAGTTTTTGTTAAGTAATTGGTGGTATACAAATATCAAAAATACAAGAGGCGATTAAAAAATTATTTTTTTTTTTAAATTTCAAATCATTCTGAAAAATTATTTTCGGTTGCGGGGGTCAATTACAATCATTTTTGGTCATTGGACATATCCTCGAAATCCTGCCCACTTTCGAGAAAAAAATTCGAAAACGTGAAATTTTTTGACATAATTAAAAAATTTCAAATCGTTCTGAAAAAATTATTTTCAGTTGCACCGGTCAATTGCAATCATTTTTTGTCATTACATGTACCTTCGAAATCCTACGCATTGTCAAGAAAAAAATTCCTTACTGAAATTATGTTTGACCATACCATTAATATGTTTCCCTGAAATTTCATGCATATCTTTAAAACGTTATAACTTCTGAACGGATTGGACGATTTTAATATTTCAAAAAGCAATCAACGCGTATTTTAGTGAAGAATGTGTAGAAATTCTAAAAATATTGGAAAAGTTGCTCCTTGACTCCGTAAAATGAGAAAAACTCCATAAAAGTGGTCCAATTTTCAAACGGTCATAACTCCTACAATAGTGGACGTATCTCATTGAAATTTTTTTTTAAATAGAGCTCATGGATACCTACCAAAAAGTACTAAACAACTTTGCCATACAGCGCCAACCAAATTTATTAAAAATCAGGGAGTAGATGCCTAAATTTTTCGGAGAAAAAAAAATTCAAATCGTTCTGGAAAAATTGTTTTCGATTGCGGGGGTCAGTTACAATAATTTTTGGTGAATAGACCTACCCCAGAAATCTTATCCATTTTCTAGAAAAAAATTCATTACGGGCGGAACTTTAAATGTTAATAACTTTTTAACGAAGTCTCCACCAAGAAATTAGTATTCTTGATTTTCGTCTTATTTTGGCCTCTAGAATCTTCCAATGTTTTTTTGTTTTTAATTAATTTCTGTTTTTAAATTTGTTTTTGTCCCAATCTTCTTCATTGAAACATAAAATACAAGAAATGAGATTAGAGAAGACACCATAGATCCTCAACGTATACAATTCCTTACTACAAGAAAAATTAAAATTAAACATTGAAATATAATAAGTATCAGTATTCAAGAACGTTGAAACTGAGCACTTTTTATTTTTACAACGTGAAATCAATGCAAACAAAAATCACAGAAGTATTGAATTTCGAATCGTGACATCTCAGATAGCTGAAAAGAATTTAGTTTTCGGTGGGAAATATTGTAGAAAATAAATTCAGATATGTTATTTTAAAAACGAAACCTTGACTAAATTTCGCGAATATTTATGCGATCGTCTAACGTCTTAAGGTCGAGTCCTTGAACGTTTGGAAGACGAACGCGATCGTATAGAGAAAAGACAAGGGCGCGATGACAGTGTCGTTATTTGTACGGGCCAATCGGGTTACGACAGACTTATCAGGCGACACGACGCACGCAAATTTCGCTCTCCGACCGACATGGAGCAGGGAGACAGGTTCGGAGTGACACAGTTGCAGCCATCAGATCAAACATTGATCCACTCGGTAACTGCCTTCGTTACTGATACCTTTATCTACCTGCGGGATATTATGCGATCGTATCATTACCGAGTACATTTTCCTCGGTAATAGCCTGGAACCTGGATTTCAACTGTACTACATCAATCTTCAACTAGATACAGCGGTTCCACGTTACGTACAGGGCATTTCGAGGTGGGTGGCACGACCGAGCGGAAGCTGATTCTAGGTGCAAAGATACGTAGGGAATGTAGAACGAAATTGTTTCTCGCGAGGCCTCGTTTTCGAGAAAATTCGACATTCGATACTATTGCACTTCGCTAACGCATCTGTTACGTATTCGTTAAAACATATAATATGGTATCTCCATCAGTGTGTTTAAAAACGTCGTCAAAAATTCAGGTGAAATTTCTTTTACTATTTAACTATTTTATTACACGATTAAAATCGTTACCCACACATACCAAACGTAATTATTGGAACTCATTTTCTTGACAACAAAGTATGATAAATTTTTATGTACCTTGACACTTAATCTACCATGTATATAATATCATCAGAGGATAGTCTTGATATAATTCTCCTTTAAAAAAAATATAAACCTCTCCCAGTTTCTAGAATCAGAGAATCATATCTGGTCTCACATCATATTTTCGGTAAGGAATTTTTTTCTCGAAAATGGTCAGGATTTCGAGGGTATGTCTATCGACCAAAAATGATTGTAATTGGCTCCTGCAACTGAAAATAATTTTTTTGGAACGATTTGAAACTTTTAAATTTCGCCGAATTTCAGGGGAATAATCGTTCATGGTCAGACATTGTATTCGCGGTAAAGAATTTTTTACTCGAAAATGTATAGGATTTCGGGGGTAGCTGTAATAACCAAAAATGATTATAATCGACCCTTCCAACCTAAAATAATTTTTTTAGAACGATTTGAAAAATTTTTTTTGCCAAAAAATTTCAGCATTTACCCGAATTTTTTTCTCAAAACTGCGTAGGATTTCGGGGGTATGTTTATTCACCAAAAATGATTGTAATTGATCCCAGCAACCAAAAATATTTTTTCCAGGACGATTTGAAATTTTTTAATTTTGTCAATTTACTTGAATTTTTTTCTCTGAAAATGTAATCATAGTGTGACTAAAATCGATACTCTGGAATCGTAAAAAGCCGTCCAGCAGATCGTCATGACACTTGCATTGCGGAAGAGGGCAGTTTCCTTAACGTTTCCCCTGTTCGGGGAATACTTTCTTCCATGGCAAAGGGAAATCCGAGAAAATGTGAGAAAGGCTCGGGTTTTCCAGGACCCTCGTACTACGTGAAACGTTTGCGCTCGACGTTAATTCCGGGACGGTCGTGAAACCCTTGGTCGTAGATGCTGGGCGATGTGGAAGATCGCGATGGCGGAGCCCGTGAGACGATACGGGACGGTGGACGCACGAATTTCCTCGCGCAAACAGAACGGAGGCGTAATTTCTCCCTAGTTAGGACGGAAATTATGCGAGCTTAAGTGCAGGACAGTCCGGGGCTTAACCGAATAAGGGCAACGCGCAGACATTCCTGGCTCTGGGGTGAATTTAGATGTCCCGGGCTAAAGCGATAACGACGCTGGGAGCGTCGATCCCGCTGGAACTTCTGCGAATCGCCGTTTCGAAAAGTGGGTATCGCGATATCAATACCCACGGGACCGTCTCCTATTTGCGTCCGGGTCGATGAAGGCTGTCTCGAACCCGAAAATTCAGTTGCAACGGGACAACAGTCCCGCGGGAATGTTCACATTCGAAACGTCAATTTTTAAAATTCCTTGCGTACGCTGTTTACCTGTAAAAATTTCTCAAAAACATTCTAACGCAGTCTCTGCAAATAAAACTCGACTGTCCTCGGTGTGCCTGCATTTTGAACAAATTGTGATCATCACCAGCAGAAAATAGTGTCATTTATTAGATTCGTGTTCGCAAACTGTAAAATAAACGTTGTTAGAACGGTGAAGTGAAATTTGTAGAAATTATTAATAATATTCGCGACGAGAGTTCTGCATTAAACGTTACGGTTGAAACTACGTCTTCCAAATAGGAAATTATTTCTATATTTTGAAAATGGCTCTCTGCATGATCTCCGATTAATTCCAACTGGATAACGTTTCCAGGCGCGCATCGCTGTTACGCATTAGCGTAAATTTTCAACCTGCGGAGCTTTGTGCCCGTAACAGTGGTGTAATAACGAAATAGGTTGTTGCGGTAATTCTATTTATAAGGCCGCCGGTAAAACCTGCTCCGCGTTGGAATGATTTTAAGCGACTTGTATTTAACTTGGAATTAAAATTTCGTCCGGAATACAAGTTATTCACTACTTAAATAAATAGTAACAAAACCAGTGCTTGAACAAGAACCATAGAATGTCCCTAACTCGTCTATTCGAAGATTCTTATATTTTCACTCTCGGGGGTAGATTAAACTGCAATTCATTTTCTCCACAAAAAATAATGAATAACTGTCTTACGTGTCGTTAATATACTGTTAGTACACATTATTTTTCAAGCAAAAATAGCTTTTCCGAAAACAGTGAACAAAAAGGTAAACTGTAGCTTTTTTATTCGAGAATTAATTTGGAGTCCTCATATATTCGTAACAAGGATAAATATGTTTAACGAAGCCCAGCAGGCTGTACGCGTATCTCGTCAGGTTGCACGGCGAGCCGTGGCGTTCTGATTTATGATTTTAATCGATGCATCGAAGGATATGCACTCGATAGCGTACCAATTATCTCTCCGTATTGTATTCCGCATACATATTACTTACACGCGCGTCGTGCAGCGCGCTGCGGGAACAATGAATAATTTATGGAGACCGAAATTGAGCCTTACGCCACCGCCAACCGCGCCATCGATCGATGCACCGGGTTATTAACAACGCGTCGAATTGAACTTCGGCCCTGAACCGCGATATAAAAATGACGGGAAGGAAGGATCGCTAGCCGTGAACGCGAAACGCGTGGACGGAATAACCAGCGTGGGTGTCAGGGGGAAAAAAAAAAAAATCCCGTGACGAACCGTCCCGGGATTGCGACTTCCCGTTACATCTGTACCGCATTTTTACGATAGAGTTACTCACTTTCTATACGACTTCCTATTTCCTGGAAA